TTAATTAACGATGAACATGTCATTTTCGTTGATGATGGATTTATTTAGTATTCTCTTCTGTTAAGCTCGGAGACCAATTATACATTCTTATTGCTCAAAATAGAGTTCAATAGTTTTATAAAAAACTCGGATAATTCCAGTAAGATATCTTTGATCATACAAAGCTTCCAAGAATAATCTAACAAATTTTGCTTTCTCACGATTTGGACAATTTTACTGTTACCAGCCGCTCTCTCTCTCTCCCTCTCTCTCTCTCTCGCTATATATATATATATATATATATGTATATATTATGAAATGGACTATATTCGACAACTATCTTAATATATGTATTGTTTATATGTTATTTTTATAGACACAAATATTTAAGTAAATTCTCTCTTTATAATAAACAGTATTAAGACCATTTTCCGGCCTGAATGTCCGAAAATTTTCATAGAAAATATCTGTCCTCCGGACATTCAAGCCGGTAAATGTTGTTAATACTGTTTATTAGAAAAAGAGTATTTGCCTAAATATTTGTATCTATAAAAATAATGAATAAACAGAATATATATATATATATATATAGTGTGTGTGTGTGTGTAATCCTCTGCATAAAAGGCACTCTACTACATAAAAATAGGCAAATTGCTTATCATTTTTCTGGTGATAGAACGAAATTAAATTTTTTTGTTTTTTCCAAATTGCTAAGTTAGACGCCATTACTTGTTTATGTCTTAAATCATTAGAATGCATTTTGCCAGAAGAAAAGTGTAGATAATTTTTGTAATTGCATTGTACTATCAAAATCTTAAATATTTCCGTAATGTTTTGACACAATAGGTAAACAATATACATATTGCGAGTGATGTATATACGAATAGATGTATATCTGTACCTTAGTATGTAGGGCTGTGTGGAGAATCCTTGCATCCATTATTTAAATACTTTGCTGAGTTTGTTTCTCGGCTGGTTTTTTTTTTTTTTTTTATTTTTTTTGTTTTTTTTTTTTTTTTTCACGCTTTATTTATGAATTCTTTTTTTAGCTTATAATTTTTGTGTCTTTTTTTTTTGGGGCGGATTAGATATTTTTTTCTTTTCTTTTTTTCTGTGATTATCACATTTTTTTTTTTCTTATTTTTTACTTACTGCAAAATATCCAGACTCTAATATCTTTTTATTTATTAAGCAAGGCGCCTTGCATTTTTTTTCCCGATGTCTTATTTTTCTACTTTTTTTTTTTTACCGCTTTTTATGTCTTTCCGAGAAGAGATTTGCAAAATAATAAAGTCTTTAACTATTTCTGTTCATGGATTTGCTTCGTATCTCTCTCCTCCCTGGTCACTGTTCGTGGATCCTAAGCTAATGCACCTTTTTCTAATTTTTTTTTTTTTGTTGTTTTTGTTTTTGGCAAACTCCTTCAATTTCCAAGACTATATGTCTATGATTGGCTTGTAGTTATCACGTTGCAACTTAATAGTTATCATTTTCTCCGGAAATGGCAACAGAAGCATTATTACAAACTAACAAGGACATAATATCTTTTTTGAGCCAAATAATGCTGTCTAAGCAGATGGTTTCGCTGTAACGCAGAGAATAAATTCAAAAGCTCTAATGGCTACAATGGTACCAGATTTCTAAAAAAAAAAAAAAAAATAAAATAATCCTACAATTCAATACTATTTACCTGACCTCACATTGAAAACATACTGAAATATATTCTAATTTTTCAATAGTTACACTAAAATACCTAACACACGAGCAGGGTGGTAATAACTAAGGGTTGGAATTTTTATTACTATCAAATAACCGAAGGGATCGTAATAAAAAGAGGGGTCGGAAAATGTTGAAATCTGGGGAATAGTGCGAAATTAATAAACGGTGTGATTGCAATAAGTTATTTTAGGAAAGAGTCAGAAAATTTCCGTAAAAAAACAAAAAACATTCCCCATTACTATTAGGCATCCAAGAATAATGGTAATGGTAATCTTAGCCGTTTCCTTATAAGGAAACAGTCTGCACTCATTGACCGAGAATTTTGTGCTGTTGCTGGTTGAAATTTATAAAACCTTTCTATTAAAAAAATTTTCAAGAAAATATGTTTCTCAAGTTCAGTATACAACTCTTAAAGTTCTGTTATAACTCTTTAAAGTATTGACAAGGGTTTCCTTCCTAACCTTTTATCTGAAATAGTTTGGAATGTCAACATCATTTTCTCTTCGAGTTATATATGGCATCCATTTTAGTCGTTGTTGCTATTCTCAAGTGTTATCTGGCACAGTTCCTTTACTTAGCGCCAGTCCTGTTCGAAGAAGGATGGGCTTCCCCAAGACCAACAGGTTTCACTCGCTCAAAGCCATTTTTTCCTACACACAAGACATCAATCTGCTACTGGGTGGCAGGCCACTAGCATTTACCGCTGGTGGTTCGCTTTCGGACCTCCGGCGTGTTCGTCTCGGCAATGTTACCACTTGAGGACCGCTACTGACCCACCGCTGGCTGCCACCAGAGGACTTCTGGTGTTGACATCGGCGGCCTGCCAACGGGCCACTAGCGTCTTGCGCGAAGAGAGTTTCAGTGGTTTTATACAGCTGACAGTTTAGCTATTTCTGAATAAGTTTGGTATCATGTATGGCATTTATATGAATTTCTCGATCTGACTAGGTTTTTTAAGGACATGAGTCGAATTTTCAGGATGATGTTATATGTGCGGTTGATAACTTTTTGCCAACAATGAAATCCAAGCACTGCAACACCTTTGCCCTTTTTTCACCAATGAAATCCAAGCATTGCAACATCTTTGACCTCATTCCATAAGATCCCATGAAGTATTCAGCCTATCGTCGTGCTTTTGATTTTTTAAATAAATAGACAAAATTTATTTTTATTACCACTCATGATAACAATTAAAAACGAAACTAAAAAACCTTCATTATGTAAACAGAAGAATTTTGTCCCGGGCCTCCAATTAATTTACATTAATTTAAGAATCCCTACCCCCACAGTTACATATTGTTCATGTTTTTATCAATGATTATACCTTTATTAACCTCGATTTAGCTCTGTTGATCGAGGTTCGAAACCGGTTAGCTATCTTGTTTTTCTGTCCTGGGTGTGACGATAAACTACATCCGCCTCCTGGGTAAGGCGATAAACTACGTTCAACAAGGCCGCTGATCAGAAGGTTTTGAGGAGCGTGGAACCACCTCTTAATTGCTGGTGTTCCCAGGTCCACCCTAAGCCGGGGTGGTAGCACATGTTTGGGTCCCAGCAACGAGTAAATAGTTAACCCCCAAACAGAGGTCAAAACATTATGAAAATGTAAAATAGGTTTTAATCCCAGAAATCCTTTGTAAAAAGTTATTACTAGCAATAAATATTTGAATAAATATTATTACAGCTATATATTTTGGAAAAAATATCTTGGCGGCATTAAATAACCCATTGAGGTTGATATGCCGTAAAATAAAATAAACCAAACCAAACCATCTTGTTTTTCATTTTTCCCCCCATTTTTAATTGTTATCGTGAGTGGTAATAAAAATAAATTTTGTCTATTTATGGCGGTTATATATAATATATATATATATTAGTAACGCAGTATTTTTATAAATATTGTAAAAATCTAAAATTAAATGCTAATACTTTTGCATATATGCAGTCTCAAGTTCTTCGGGAAAGTTAAGTTAATGTCCTTATAGGCTTCCTACACGTGAATAGGAATTCACTTTTTTGAATAAGCATTTTTTTGATTTTTGGAAATGATAAGGTTGGAAACTTCTGATCTGAACTGCCGTCTGTATCTAACGGTTTTCTATGATCAATGGTTAAAATACCTTTGAGCGAGAGAAGCCTGAGGGTCTTGGCAAAAACCATCTTTCTTTGAACATTGTGAACTGGCACTACATAATCCCAAACTGTAGCAAATAACAGAAACTACATCACTAAAATAGCACATGTAACTAGAAGAGTAAATAATGACATAATCAAGATGTGGACATTCCACACTAGTTCAAATAAAAGGTTAGAAAGGAAACCTCCATTAGTAATGGAAAGAACGATAACAGGACTGAATTTGAGAAACCTGTTTTTTTCTGAGAAATTCTTTTAGGAAGACTTTATAAATTCCGAAAGAAAGCAGTACTGGCTGCTCAGTTAATGAATGCCAAATGTTTCCCTCTAGGGAAATGGTTAATATTATGACAGTAATATTTTGCTAAACTTCAGTTTCTATTAAGTGTTATTATTATTATTGTCATCATCATCATCATTCGATTTCTGCTATGGACACACTTAAAGTCTGCGGAAAGACCTTAAGGCAGGTCGTGGTGTGTTAAATGTTAATTTTTTTTTTTTTTTTTATCTCCGATGAAGTTGCTAGCGTTACATAGACAAAGTTCTCCTTAGTGTGTGTGCTGTACTTAATAAGACAATTTTCTGTATGTCTCTTAAGCTGGGGTTTCAGGATTCTTTCAATGTGTTGTTTTGTTCCATTTTTATAATTCCAAGTGCACCTATTACCACTGGTATTATTCTTGTTTTCAATTTCCACATTTTTTCTATTTCAATTTCCAGGTCTTTGTATTTTGATAGTTTTTGATAGTTTTTATTATTATTATTATTATTATTATTATTATTATTATTATTGTTATTGTTTATTTTAGGCTACAGCCAGCCATACTACTCAACACATCAAAGTCAAAGACATTAAACTTCAAACAATTCCTTCAACGACGTGATTGAAGTTTATCTAAATGATTGATTGAATGATTTTTTACGTCTTATCAACCCTTTGTAGGTTATTTAAAGCCGAAACATATTTGGGGATGGTAAGAATAATTATTTTTTTGCGAGTGAATATTGTATTAGCAATTTCTTGGATATAATTTTCAGATATTTTAGCCTATAGATGGGGGTGGTGGAGAAGTGGATTGATACCTTTCCTAAGAGTATTTGCGCATAAGTGAATGCAGTGACCCTGAGTGCAATTTGATCTCAGCTTTCTGACAAATCCAAACTTACCACACCTGGTATTCCCAAGCAGTCACCTATGAAAGTACTGACCGTGCTCGAAGTTGCTTAACTTCGGTGATCGTACGAGAATCGGTATTTCAATATGATATGGCCGTAACTCTTCTCTAAGTTAGGAAAGGCTTTTCACAGAGCCAATCCAACTCTGAACTTCTAATACATTTTGTTCAAAAAGAATGGCCGGTCTGCATAATGGTTGCAAATGAAGTCGTTGGTATTATGTTAGAGTTTCTAGAGCGATGTTTTAACGAACATTAGGAGACTCCCACACACAATGGACATACTTCACAATTTAACCTGGGGACATGTGACTCAGTTTGCCATGTGTGTCGTGCGAGAAGTCCGTTGACCTCATAAGACGATTCATCTTACAAAAATACATAATGTCCAGCTATTCATTTTTTTGAGTCCACCAGCCTTCAAGAGTGACTAGCTATTCACTGTTTCTGACGCATTTGTGCTTGTAAGGCCCAAACCACAAAGCCTACCTTTGGTTCATACTGCAATTATGCTGAGCGTACCTTAGTTACAGTTACTGGAAGAGAGAATGTATAATCTAGCATGATCAACAATTTGAACAAAGCTAGTATGCTCAAACCGTCGGTTAAGAACAACAGCTTAATTGTCCGTCAAAATGTCTCTTTGTTTATATGGCAGTGAAATAAAGTAAATGCATTAAAAATAAAAATAGTTATATACAAAAATAGTTATATACAAAAATTCGCTAAAAAACGATACATGTTGAAACAATATCGAAAAGTAAATAAAAATGAAAATTTATCGTCAAAATCTTTGCGTTATTATAAAGAGGTAAGATCAAAGGATTTTTTATCCATTTTTTTAATCCGTTTTAAAACCTTGGTTTTTCTGGTTTGGTTTGGTTTCTTTCATGGCAAAACCCTGAATGGGTTATTTAATGCCGACCTGGTTTTTATTGCTGGTAATATTTTAATTTTTTTTTTAAATGTATTACTGGTAAAAAATGTATTGCTGGTAATATTTTTTTCAAAAATGTATTGCTGGTAACATTTTTTTCAAAAATGTATTGCTTGTATTATTTTTTTCTTCAAAAATGTATTGCTGGTAATAATTTATTGCTGGTAATAATATTTTTTCTTCAAAAATTAATTGCTGCTAATAATTTTTTCACAAACTGTATTGCTGGTATTAAAACCTTTTTTTACACTTTCATAATACTTTGACCCCAGTTTGGGGGTTAACTTTTTGTTCATAGCTGGGACCCTAACAGGTGCTACCACCTGGGTCAGGGTGGAACTGGGAACACCAGCAATTAAGAGGTGGTTCCACGCTCCTCAAAACCTCCTGATCAGAGGTCTTGTTGGTGGACGTAGTTTATCGTCTTACCCAGAATACTTGTTTATTTTTTTTATTTATTTTTAAATGCTTACAAAAATCATATACTTGTCGAATTTCAACGATACGTCCGCGACTCATTCGTAAATTAATGAAATTAATTTTGTTAAATGGAACTTCAGTATAAGAAATTCTGCTCTGAAACGTAAAATTAAAAAAAAATGCAAATACACCACCACTTCTGCTCCAACAGTTTCTTTGAACCTGTGGAGCTGCCTTCCGTTTACTTACCCTCCTGATAGCTACAATCTTCAAAAATTTAAATGCTAATTTTCTTGAATCCCATTCATCGTTTGTCCTTTCCTCAATCTTCCCTATACTCAGTCTTTTCTCTCACTTTCACTCACTGTAAATCCCTGCATTCTAGAGGCATCTCCACCCGTCTAGGGCAAAATGATTGAAAAAATAAAAATAAAAATAAAACAGAAACATTAGAAAAGCTTTTAATTGAATTATGAATAAAATATATTATGAAAAAAAAATTCGATGAATAATGAATTTTTTCAAGAATTGTTTTTATTTTATAAATTTTAAATTTTAAAGTTTTATATAAATCTGTTGTGGTCAAGTGATATTGTTATTAAATTAAAAATGTATTTATTAATTATAAATGAAAAAACTTAGTGCAATTTTTCAACCCCAGTATTTTAAAAGGAATTTAAAAAATTTTGTAGTTTGTGTGTAAACGTGCCAATTCTTGAAAATACTAACATCCATACACAACATTGTTAGAAAATAAAAGCCGTAAGTATAATAGATTTAAAATGTATAGGTATTTTTCTAACATTTCCTCAACAAGCGTCTTCGTAATTAAAACAATAAAGCCAAATTATCTCTAATTCTATAAAATATTAGAATGCTTAAAATATCTAAAATTTTAAAGATTTCTTTAGAAATTATAAAAAATCAAAGCGTTAGTATTGTCATGTACTTTTATAACAATTATTGCCTCCTTACATATTTTTTTCAAATATCAGGTTTTTGATAATTGTGTCAACCCCTTATGAAAAAATTCGCCCCCTATTAAAAACTGTTTTTTCTGTGATATTTTACACTAAAAGTAAGTAATATGTGCTTCAATTCAGATTAATTAAAATTTAATTCAACTAATTTTTCTCAAAGAAAGTTTTAAAAAAAAGGATATTTGTTTTAAAAATATTTTTAAAAATAAAGACAATTATGTTGTCTTGACAGATTTGTCAATTTGGACGATTTTAGTTATTTTATTCATAATGAATTAAAAAATAATTACAATCAGTGTAAATTCAATTCAAAGCATTTTACTTATTGGAAATATTAAATTTAATTTATTAGCTTGCAATTAAAGCTAAAATATAAACTTCGTGAACGATTGTTCATTTTTAACATGCATTTTAAACTTTAGGCGTCGTTTGTCTTTGGGGTTTTTCTCATTGTTAGAGAAATATAAAGACTGATTAAATAGATGTATGAATGACGCATCTAGAAGACTAAAAAGAATATATGAAAGAAGAGAAAAGAAAAGAAAGCGTCAGAAAAAGGAGAAAAGTGGGTGGGGGAGAATAAAAAAGGAATTAGATAAAGAAGGGAAAATTAATTATGTGAAAGAGAATAACGATATGGAGGATAAGGGGAGAGAGAAATAATTTAAGAGATAAAAGGAAGAGAAATAAAGGAGATTACAATGAAAGGAAGAACAATAAAACGGAAACGGGGAAAGAGTTGAAGGCTTATTATCTAGAATGATGGTAAATGAGAGAGGCAGACAGTATTTAGTTATGCTCATAGAAGAAGAAGAAGAAGAAGAAGGGAGAGGAGGAAAAGAAGAAGGAAGAAAAAGAAGGAAGAAGATGAAGGAGGAAGAAGAAGGAAGAAGATGAAGAAGAAAAAAGAAGAAGAAGAAGAAAGAGAAGGAAGAAGAAGAAGAAAGAGAAAGAAGAAGGAAGAATGAAGAAGAAGAAAGAGAAGGAAGAAGAAGAAGAAGAAGATCAACAATGACAACAACAACAAGAGGGTGAAGAAGAAGTGACCAGAAAAATACGATTAAAACATGTTGTAACAAGAGAAGAAAGTACGTTCATTAATAAAAATAAAATGAAATGAAAGAAAAAAAGAAAAAAAAACGAAAGAAAAAAAGTAGGAATTGAAGAAGATAAAGGGGAGAATAATGTTATCAAAGAACATTAATAAAGATAACGTACAGAAAAGTGTGTGAGAAGAAGAAATAGATGAACAAACAATAAACGAAGATGTCTGTAAGGTGGAGGAGAAGAAAGAAAGAAAGAAAGAAAGAAAGGTGAAAAGGCGAACAAAAGAGTAAGAGGAAGAAGAAAATGAAAACGAGAAAGAATGCTTGAAAATGAGACGAAGTGGTTGAAATAAAAATTAGAGTACGAAAAGCAAACGGAAAAGAAGAAGTGCATGGATAAAAGAAAGAAAGAAATGGAGAAAGAAAAAAAAAGATGAAAAACGGGTAGAACAACAAGAAAAGAGAAAAATCAATGAAAGAATGAAGAGTACACGAAGAGAGACTGAATAAAGAAGAAAAACAACAGCAACAACAACAAAGAGCAAGAAATGAAACTAGCAAAGACAAAAGGAATGAAAAAGAAAGATGAAAAAAACGGGCATAAGAAAAAGAGAAAAAAAAGAAAAATGAAAGAGAGGTCGAGGTGGGGATGGAGAGATTAAAGAGAAAATGGTGAAGAAGAAGAACAAGAACAAGAAGTGCACGAAATCAAAGAAATAAAGAAAGAAATGCAGAAATGCAAAATGCAGAAAGAAAGAAAGAAAGAAAGAAAGAAAGAAAGAAAGAAAGAAAGAAAGAAAGAAAGAAAGATGAAAACGACTGGCAGAAAAACAAGAGAAAAAAAGAGAAAGGGAGGTTGTCGCGGAGATGGAGAGATCAAAGAGAAAAAAGTGAAGAAGAGGAGGAGGAGGAGGGGAGAAAGACAAAGATAACAAAGAAGAAGAAGAAGAAGAAGAAAGACAAATATAACAAAGACGGAGAAAAATAATAATAAGAAGAAGAAGAAGAAGAAGAGGAGGGGAAAGAGGAGAGAAAGACAAAGACAGCAAAGACGAAGAAGAAGAAGAGGAGGAGGAGAAGGAGGGGGAGAAAGAAGAAGAAGAAGAAGAAGAGGAGGAGGAGGAGGAGGAGGAAGACAAATATAACAAAGACGACGAAGAAGAAAGGAGAAAGACAAAGAAGAAGAAGAAGAAGAAGAAACTTGTATTAAGATCCGGTACCCTTTTGAATCCAGCCACATACCAAATGTTTATACACACAGGTAAACAAATAATATTTCTTACAAATTGTTAATAACTAAATAACATTGTCATTTCTTGCTTTTTCTTCCTTATATTTTTTTCTTCGTTTTTCTCCTCGGTTCTTTTACTGCGACCGAATTCCTGACAGAATGGATAACTGTTTCGACAGGTAACACCACCATTTACAATGGCAATCTCCTGTTCACGAAAAGAGAAAGCAGTGGGGGCAGAGCAGGGGGGGAGCAAAAGCGTAAGGGGGGATATCTTGGTTCTCACGGTTTCTTTAGAAAACCTCTGTTGATAATGGCAGATCCGGATTTTGTATTTTTACGGTCCTTTTCTTCATTGTCAATGGCTTGCGATGTTTGTAAGCAGATTTCTCCTTTGTTTGAGAGGTCAGCTTTTTCTTTCTTTCATGTTCCATTCTTCGTCTTACATTTCAGGTTTTTGTCTTCGGAATCTATTCTCTGTTTTTGTAGGAACTTCCGTTTTTCTTGATTTTGATTTTCTTTCGGCTTCTTTGTTTCTTTTACTTCGATATTGATAGTATTCTGTGTATCTCTGCAACCAATGCATAGCGTGCTTCAAAAACGTACATTCTTATCAGAAACCTTTAAAACTGCAAGAATACCACACTCAATGCTAACATAACAGAGAACAGGTACGAAAAAGCTTCGTAGAAGAAGAGATAGCAAGGGACGAACGAAAAGAAACTATCGTATATATTGGAATCTTTAGAAAATTTCCTGGAAAGCTATGGAACCAATAAATACTAAAAGAGCAAGAAATGATGTTGAAAAATTCAATTAATGAATTGTAGATGAGCCATTATAAATACTTGTTTGTTCCCTTAGCGTAACACCATTATGATGCGACTTAGTTTTTATCAGAGTTCATTCCTGCCTCCGTGAATAGTAATAGTGCAAGGCTTATGAAGATGTTTTTGATAATACTAAGTCGTAACTTCTTGTGAAATGTCATTTGTCGCCAATTTCAATTTTTGATTGTCTTTATTCTTCATCTTATAGTCTTGACAAATTTCATAGAAAGGGTCTGCAATGTAATCGATCCTGACCTGGCATCTCGACTTCAATCACTTTTTCGCTGACGCGACGTAGGTTCATTGTCTTTTTTTATAAATATTTTCATGGCTATTGTTCTGATGAGCTTTCTTCCTTAATGCCTCAACTACATGAATTTAAATGTGCTACTAGATTGGCGGATAGGTCTCATTGTTTTACTATTTAACTAGCTTGATGCAACTGTAAGTTCTATTCGGATACTTTCTTTTCTCGCCTCTGTAAATTCCCTCCAGTTACCTAGAATCTTCAAAAATTTAAGTGTAAAGCCAATCGCTATTTTCTGTCTCCCTGAGTCCTGTTCTTTTATTGTCCTTTCTCCTCGATAAAATCTTTTCATTCTCTTCCACTCCCAAAATCTCCTTGCGTCTTAGTGGCATTGTCGCCTTGCTTGAGGCGAAATTATTTGTTGCTTTGTATGAAAATGTCAACAGTTCAACATACCCTCCAATCAGAATAAGGAAATAACTTTTTTAAATTACTTCTCGAGAGACTGACTTGACTGTATAATGACAGAAGCAATTCAAACAAAAAGGTTTGCTGCTGGACTTCCCTTTTATACTAATACTAACTATACAGGAAACATTCGATATCCAATGACCGAGCAGTTAGTGTTTCTATCTGTAGAATTTCATAAAATCTTTCTCTTAAAACGTCTTTTTCAAGAGAATAGTTTTTCTCAAGTCCTCTGTTATCACGCTTTCTCGTTTTAAATATTGTTTCCATCCTAACCTTTTGTTTATGGTGGTGTGGAATGTCAACAGGCTGATTATATGATTATTTTTCCTTCTAGATACACGTGTTAGTCATTTTAGTGGTTGTTATTGGTAGTCTTCAAGTGATGTGGTTATTGTACTAAAGGTCATCCGATAAAAGTCTCGAGAGCTACTCAAAATAGACGATTACTGTTAAAAGGATTATGACGAATAAGATGTGTGAGATAAAGCTAGCAGGAAGTAAACATTATGCGGAGTATAGATAACGATTAACCTTTGACCTAAAGAAGTTAATGCTAGTATTCAGGGAAATATCCACGCAGGAGTCTGTTCCACGAAGCAGCAGTTCTTGAAAAAAAGTCGTTCGGTCATCGAATACTGTTGCCATATCTGGTTTGGTGCTCCTATCCTTGACAAAATTCAAAGAAGGATCTGTAATGCAATCGATCCTGACTTGGCATCTCGACTTCAGTCACTTTCCCACGTGGCCTCCTTCTGTCTTTTTTACATATATATATATATATATATATGTTCATGGCAATTGTTCTGATGAGCTGTCCTCAGTGTTTCGTCTGCACGAATTTTTACTGTTGAACTAGCTAGACGCAACCGCCATGTTTTTTTTCTAATAGTTTCTACTTCTCGCCTGCGGAAATCCCTTCCGATTTCTTGCTTCCCTGCCAACTAAAATCTTCAAAAAATTAAATGCAACGTCAATCGCCTATTTCTGTTTTCCTGGAAACCTGTCTCTTTATTGTGCTTTACTGACTTCTCTTCACTAAAGTCTTTTCATTCTCTTTCTCTCGTTGTAACCCCCTGCGACCTAGTGATATTATTGCCTTTCATAGGGTGAAATGATTTTTAAATAATATCAACATTAGGATCAACATAGGTGCGAACGCTAATCTAAATAAAACTTTACTCAATAATTAAAGCCCATCTTCGTTGGCCTAGATAGGATGGTGGGGCGAGTTTCTCTCTATGGCTTAGGGGTTGACACCCGGAGCCTGAGGTATACCCAAAAGCGGGGAGTGCGGATGGTTCTTGGGCAATTTTTGTATAGTTAGCAAATCCCTCTTTAAACCACGACCTTGTGTCACATTCTGTTTGATTGGGCGTACGGATAAATATAATAATAACAGCCCATCTGAAAAAGTAATAATGAGATTTTTAGACCAGAGAAGCTACAGTTTCTTTAGCTTAAAAATGTCTGTACAACCCTACAGCTGGTTGTAGCTCAATGTGTGGGGCATTAAATCTTGAAAAATAACACCACTTTGACAGCCATTTTGTGATCTGCAGGCGAAATGAGAAGATGCTATATTACAGTGTATATAATGTGGTCAAACCTGACCGGCCGCTGGACACTTCTCAGGCAGCAAAAACAATTTGCAGTGAGTCGTAAATCTCGAAGCGGTTGATTACGCCGTCAGTGAGAATAACTATTTAGATAATTAAGTAGCCTACGGACGCTGTCCGGCAGGTACGCAAATCAGTAAATCAAAATGTTGGACAAGATAACGAAATGAACCCAGTTCACCGTTTGTGGAATTTAACGAAGCTCGAATCAACTTGAGCCACGGATAACGTTTTTTCGTGTTATGCTGGTAGCGACTGTGCGACGAGGCGGTTTCGAAAGAACATTATTCAAAATGGACGCGGTGTTGGATAACCTGTGAACAGAAGAGCCAGTGAGTCGAAAACCTAGTTATGACAACAGTAATTGAAAAGTTGAAAGGACGATATACCGGAGAGATGATTTATGTTAACGCTTTATTTCACAGGCGGAAAACTAAACGCCGTGAGAGATGCTTAACACACGCTTCGATCAGGACATTGCTCGCCAGCCCGTTTCTAACTGAATTAGCTGGATATTTTAATGTACAATAAAGTTGTTCCTGTCCCCAATTTTTTTTTTTAATCAAACGCCATAAATTATATTCATGCTTATAAATAGTGAGCATTTTCAAACTTGTCGACCATGAGGCTAAAAAAAGTAGGCCACCATCAAATCGTCGAAGTAGTAATGGCCAACGAAACTAATTCTTTTTTAATCATTTTATTCCAAGCAAGACAATGAAACCGCTGAGTCGCAAGGAGTTACTGAGTGAGAAAGAATATAGGAAAAAGCAAAACATTATTGAGGAGGGAGAACAACATAAGAACACGAATTACGAAGACAGAAGATAACGATTGACATTGCATTTAAAGTTTTGAAGATCAAATTTGACTGGGAAGCAGAAAAGTGGAAGATAGTTCCACAAACGGGAAGAAAAGAGACTGTTGGCATAGAACTTACGGTTGCATCTACCTATTTCACTTGTAGAATGATGAGACCTTGCCGCCAATCGAGTACTGCGTTTAAATTCATCAAGTCTAGGCACCCTACAGGAAATGATATTTATTTTGTAAAAATACAAAAATACAACACATAGCCAAGAGGAGGATATGAAAAGGTTGATCTTCAATCTGTCCTATCTTAAACTTAGTTTTGAGTAAAACGGTGTCCTATACACTGAAAAATATGTAATATCTACAGAATTCCTTGATTCTTGATAATGGTCAGATGTATGGTTGGAAACGCAAGATCACAGACATTTGGAGAATCACTGCATCCAAAGAAACATTTTTTTTTTCTAATTATTTCACCCCGAGCAAAGCAATAAAGCTATTAAGATGCAAGGCGTTACCTGGGTGTGAAAGAATATAAGAAAAAGCAAAACAGTATTAAGAGACTCGAGAATAATAAAAGAACAGGAGTTAAGAAGACAGTTTTGAAGATCAAATTTGACTGGGAAGTAAGAAGCTGGAAGAGAGTTCCGCAAACGAGAAGTTCGAAAAAAAGAAACGTCTAGCATAGAACTTACGGTTACATCTTGCTATTTCCACTGTAAAACGATGGGATCTTGCAACCAATCCAGTACTGTACTTAAATTCATAGAGTTCATTAAAACAATAAAGACGTCCATAAAGGAGAGTTCATTAAAACAATTGAGACGTCCACCGTCCTCAGGATCATCAAATCTATGCGAACGATCCTTTCCTTAACTGCATAGTATGTACTTCGTCAGGGCCACATACAGTTTTGAATTCAGAATTTTCCTTCTCCTAGACCGGTTGCCACCTAAGGCTATATAAACCATTCTGTCCTGCTATTTACCCATAGCTGGGGGAGAAGAGATCGATTCTTACCTTTCCCAAGGGTATTAGTACGTAATTGATTGTAATGAACTCAACTGGAATTCGATCACGGCTCTCCGGTTCCTCAATCCGAGCCATAATCCTTTATTCTTCATGTCTCCTTCCCATGGAAGTATTTATAGAAAAGGCAGAGAGAAGCTACTTTATGGCGGTGGGAAAGTGATTGAAGCGGAGATACTAGGTCAGGACTAATTTAATATTCCGTTGGTTGATATACAAATTGGTATTTAGTAAGAACATCTATTTTAAGCATCGAGTGATTATTGAATTTAGCACAGATGCAATGTTCGGTGAAATCAGCGTACTAATAAATAATGGTAGTTGATATCAGAACAGGTGTTTATTATGATGACCTTTTGGTAAACCTTCACGGCAAAATTGGGGAAATACTGGTTTTGAATCATTGAGTACCCCCAAAACCAAGATAGTAGCATTTATCACCTAGCAGATCCTGAATTTTCTCTAGTCATGATGAGCGGTGGTAATCTCAATGTGGCGCCTTTCCTTGAACGTCTATTTCGACTCAAGCTCACCGCTAACCTGAAGCGTGACTCATGTATATGGTACATCACTAAAGATGCTAAAAAATGAGCCGTTCCTCATACCGCTCCAAAAAATACCTGACTCCTTACGCCCTGCTCTATCTTTACAAGAATCAGATCAGACCCAAAATGGAATATTGCTGTCATATGTTAGTTGCCTATTCACACTTTCCAGCCCAAATCCAAAACCGTTTACACGTACCCGTGAGTGATGGCTCCAAAACCCAATTCCACAGACATACTATTGCTATCCTCTCACAACTCGCTATTTTCATGCCAAATGTTCAGTAAAGTTACATTCTTTTAGTATCCACCTGTTCAGACGTTCATAGGTAATACCCACCATGCCACGCACATATGGTCGACTCATCCCTATTCCCTTCCTCAAGGACACATACACCAGTGGATAAAGCCGTTGGTTAGATCAATGACTAGACCCAAAGAGTTGTGAGTTCAATACCAGGCTACAGCAGTGGTAAACCAAAAGACTTGGAGAGTTGAGTGAAAGGGAAACAACAGAGATACCCGGAAGAGGCATGACACGTGGAACTAGAACAATCTACCCCAGTGGACGACATAAAGGGTTCGGCTCGAAATTCCAATCACTTGAAGAAGGCAGTAGCGTACGACGGCCGAAACGTTGGGCATATGGTAATGAAGATGAGGATAACAGTCCTAATAATGTAAATGATGATGAGGAGAGGTTTTCACTTAAACTTCTTCCCCAGAAGTGTTACTATGTGAAACAGACAGCCCGGAGGATGCTTCGACCATCACTCCAATCTTAATCTCTAGATAATCCGTTATCTATCCTACATATTCTCGTAATATGCACTTTACGCCCTTACAAGAACCTTTTTGAATAAAGCTCAACGATGATATTTTTGGTTGATTCGTTTTTTACAGCTTATTGAGCCATTGCAGATTATTTGAAACCAGAAAATATTTTTAGATTTTTAGAATTCCTTTTTTACGTTACGCCTGCTTGGTCCCTCGCTATCCGCTGACATGGGGTGGAATAAATACATTGAATCAATAGCTTCATCTACCGCAAGGAAAGTTGGTTCTCTGTGTTGTGCCAGAAAGTTTTTCTTGTCTGAGTCCAGCCTTGAAATCTACCAAAATATTTGCAGGCATCACAGAGAACCCTTCCTGCCTCCTATCAGAATGACTGATTCCCAACTCCTTGAGAGTGTCTCGTTATGCCTGCTTGGTCTCACGCTGTCCATTGACATGAAGTGGAATAAATACATTGAATCAATAGCTTCATCTACCGCAAGAAAGTTTTTCTCATCTGAGTCCATCCTTCAAGTCTATAAAACAACCATCCTTCCTTTAATGGAATATTGCTGTCATATACGGACTGGTGACTCCGCTGTACGTCTCGAGGTCCTCGGCAAAATCTAGAAACGAATATGCAATGTGATAGGTCCTGATCTGGCATCTAGTCTACAGTCACTTTCTCACAGGCGTGCCATGGCTTCCCTCTGTCTCTTCTACAAGTATTTTAACGGCGACTGTTCCGATGAGTTACTTTCTCTGGTTCCCTGACTGCAAGAATTTAAGCGTGCTACTTGATTGGCAATTCGGTCCCACCCTTTCACTGTCAAAACGGTTAAATGTAACCGTCCTTCTATTCAAAGAGCTTCTTCCCTCGCACTTCCCCGTCTGTGGAACTCCCTTCCTCTTGCTGGTTTCCCTGATAACTATAATCTTCAAATATTTAAGTGTAATGTCAATCGACATCTGACACCCTGAGCTTGTTCCCAGTCCTTCTCTGTAGTCTTTCCTCAAACATGCCTCTTTACTCTTGTTCCCAATCCTCTGTAACCCCTTGCGTGCTAGTGGCACTCCTGCCTTGCTTGGAGTGAATTGCTTAAAAAAAAAAAGAATAATGGTTCAATGATACATGTCTTACTAGTTAACCCATATATGTGGGGAGAAGAGTTGGATTTATTACCCTTTTCAAGGGTATTTGCACGTAAATTAATATAACGAATTCAACGGAAACTGGAACTCGTCTCTCCCATTTAAAATTCCGAGCCACTATCCATTACACCACCCACACATCCAAGCCTACAGCACCTTGCATTTCCAAGCGCTCACCCATCTAAGCACTGACCAGGCCTAACGTTGCTTAACTTTGGTGACCGAACGGGAACCGGTGTCTCAATGTGATGTGGTCATAAGCCCCTCTATATTAAGTAGCTCTTGGGTCATGTATTGAATGAATAATATTTTAAAATCTATTTTAAGCTCCTAGTAATGACTAAACTTTATAGATTTTTTTTTAATTATAACTTAGGCTGTCTCAGAAGAAGGCCGAAGCGCAAAACGACCGGTACGTATAATTACAACAACAAAGATGAGGATATTACTAAAAGGACAACAGTGGAAGTTGCAAGTACCTACTAAACCGAGCTTAGGATTGTAGAAGTTCTTAATAATAGGGCCTAAAATTGTAGTAATAGTTTGCCAGACTGAGCTTGTTAACCATTATTATATTTACGGCGATAAGGTTCTTGGTTGCAGCTAATCTATAAGAATAAAATAGTTGAAAATCGTCAAAAACTTATAGTTACATTTGAAACTATAATTATAAAGAAATTACTTGCAATAAATTTCAAATCTTCAGTAAAATACTGTTAATGAACTACTTCAAAGATTTTCAATATTTACAGTTGGACTAATGTCTTCAACTTTGTTGTTGTTATCAAGTGTTATGCCCTCTGGCCTTCAGTACAAACATCAATACTGGAAGAAGGCAGACGATTTTAAAATAATACATTTATTCATAACACGATTTTTCTTTCTTTCTTTCTTTCTTGCTTTCTTGCTTGCATTCTTTCTTTTTTCTTTCTTTCTTTCTTTCTTTTTTCTTTCTTTCTTACTTCCTTTCTTTCTTTCTTTCTTACTTTCTTTCTTTCTTTCTTTCTTGCTGTCTTTCTTTCTTGCTTGCTTTCTTGCTTGCTTTCTTTCTTGCTTTTTTTTCTTTCTTGCTTCCTTGCTTTCTTTCTTTTTCTTTCTTTCTTTCTTTCTTTCTTTCTTGTTTGTTTGCTTTCTTTCTTGCTTTCTTTCTTTCTTTCTTTTTTTCTTTCTTTCTTGTTGTCTTTCTTTCTTGCTTGCATTCTTTCTTGCTTTCTTTCTTGCTTCCTTGCTTTCTTTCTTGCTTCCTTGCTTTGTATCTTTCTTTCTTTCTTTCTTTTTTTCTTTCCTTCTTTCTTTTTTGTTTGCTTTCTTTCTTGCTTCCTTACTTGCTTTCTTTCTTTCATTTTTTTCTTTCTTTCTTGCTTTCTTGCTTGCTTGCTTTCTTTTTTTTTCTTTCTTTCTTTCTTTCTTTCTTTATTTCTTTCTTTCTTGCTTGCTTGCTTTCTTTATTGCTTTCTTTCTTGCTTGCTTTCTTTCTTGCTTCCTTACTTGCTTTCTTTCTTTCTTTCTTGCTGTCTTTCTTGCTTGCTTGCTTTCTTTCCTGCTTTCTTTCTTTTTTTTCTATCTTTCTTGCTTTCTTGCTTGCTTTCTTTTTTCTTTTTTCTTTCTTTCTTTCTTTCTTGCTTGCTTGCTTGCTTTCTTTTTTCTTTTTTCTTTCTTTCTTTCTTTCTTGCTTGCTTGCTTTCTTTCTTTCTTTCTTTCTTCATTCTACGTTCGAGTAAATTGAGGTCTATTAATATCGAACACCAAGTGTATAATGTTATTTTCTATGACGATAGAATCGCTAATCACTACATAAAGTGATTTTGCTAATCACTTCTTTTCTTATATTCCAACAGTAATGAAAATTTAATCGAGGTATGCATTACTTAAAATCACGGCTTTTAATAGCAATATTTTTGTGGGGAAGGGGTCTTTTTTCGACTTTAAAAAAATCAATTTCATCCCAAGCAAAGCCGTAAAACCACTAAGAAACAAGGGACTACTAGGTGTGGAAAAATTAGAAAACTGATTCATTACTAAGTAACGAGAACAAAAGAAGAGGAATCAGGATGACAGTAGATAGCGACCGACATTGCATTTAAATTTTTGCAGATTAAAGTTGGCTGGACAACATGGAACCGCAAGGGAATTTCACAAGCGAGAAGAATTTGAAAAAAAAACTGTTAGCATAGAACTTAGGGTTACATCTAGCCAACTCACCTGTAAATTGATGAGACCTCATCGCCAGTCTAGTACTGCGCTTAAATTGAAAAAGTTTAAATACCAGAGTGAAGAGCTCATCTGAACAATTACCATGAAATTTCACAAGCATTCACGTGTTCGCGTCGTTCCATCAACACTGGAATATTGTGTGTGTATATGTATAAGAGTTCTGATCTGAAAGAGTTAATGTCTGTTTTGAGCTGACAAAAGTTGAATATGAAAAGAAAAAGTAATTTGAATGCTTCTTTATCCTTTTCTATATACAGATACGAAACACCATTTTTCCTCGATTCTTTCTGGTTTTTTCTAAAGATAACTATCTCAGTATGCAATGCAGTACCTTTTCGTGCTAACGTTTCCATAGGTTTTCTGTTTACTAACGCAGTCCTTTTAGAAGTTCATACACACACACACACACATACACACACACATATATATGTTTGAAATAGTACTTCTAAAAGGAACTGCGTTTATAAAGAAATATATATATATTTATGTATATATATATATATATATATATGAAAAGTGTATATAAATATAAATAAATATATATATATATAATTATTTATATATTATATGCGCGGTACTTATTAGAAAGCGCTCAATATCAGAGATAGAGCTAACATATTTGGTTGGATAGATGTGAGTTTGTGACCCTGGGTTTCAATCTTAGTTTTTGTGATTTGTCTGACGATCGCCAAAGCGTGAAACCCAGGGTCACAAACTCACATCTATCCAACTAAATATATATATATATATATATATATATGAATGTATGTATGAAATGTTACTGCTAAAAAGAACTGCGTTAATAAATAAATATATATATATATATATATATATATATATATATATATATATATATATATATATATATATATGAATGTATGTATGAAATGTTACTGCTAAAAGGAACTACGTTAATAAAGAAAAGCCAAAACCGATGGAGACTTTAGCATGAAAATATACTTAATAGCTCTGTTGCATTACATCGAGCACTGTTTTATTAACACCAGCACTATATGTGCGATCTACACACACACACACACACACACACACATATATATATATATATATATATATATATATATTTTTTTTAATCGGTATAATCCCATGCAAACTAGAAAAGCCACTAAAACACAAGGAGTTACAGGGTGTGGAAAAATTAGGAACAGAAACAATACTAATGATCAGAAAGTGACGCCAGTAATTAGGACACTAGATAGCAATTGACACTCCATGAAGATGTTGGCTGAAAATCATTGACCTGGAAGGGAGTTCCACATGGGAGAAGTGTGAGAAAAGAAACTGTTTGCATAGAATATACGGCTACATCTAGTCAACTCAACTGTAAATTAATGAGATCGCGACACCAGTCTAGTACCGAGCTTAAATTTTTAAAAAAGTCTAGGTAACATAGCGAAGACTTCATCCGAACAATTATCATGAATTTATTTATAGAAAAGACACAGAGTGGCAACCTTACATAAAACGTAATTGAAATTTATAAAAATTAAATAAAAAATAAAAATGCCAAATGTATTGCTATTGAAAATGCAGACGATGTGTTGGAACATAGACACTCCCAAAAATTTCTACTTGAATAAATGAAGTTTGTATCAACAAACAGATACTCCAGCCCACACCCTGACTTGATCGACTTGATAACTACATTAGATACGTGAGTTTTCTAAATAAGTTAAATCTTAACACCTCTGAAATAAAAAAAGGCGAAATTTTCCATAAACCCAACATCTCAAAATATCAAATTTGTCTGGACTTATAAAATTAAGTAAATCAATGTCTATAACGTTATTCTTAGTATCGCTTGATATTGGAACGGAACTTTGTATTTTAAGCTTAGTTTTTGTGATTGAATTTGAATTGAAATTTAAGTTTTGAAACATGTGTTGCGATGATTATATATTTAAAAAAAAATCATCATAATAATATATATATATATGGGGACTATATTCATACACGCGTATGCGTGTGTATTTTGTCTGTATGGTTATATATATATATATATATTTATATATATATATATATATATATATATATATATATATAAAATATGATTTACTAAGCATAGCTTAAATATAAAACATGAGCTGAAGCAGGAAGCACCTAGTGAGGACTGAACTCGTTACTCAGTAGTAAATGATGTGGCGAGGCAAGCTTGCTAACCATTGCACCACGTCAAAGTACCCTGATTTACTGTACATGGCTGAGATGTGACGCAAGGCCGCGAGTAGGAAGCGCCTAGTAATGATCGAAGAAAACTTTTCCCCCAAATCTTTTTGATATTTGATCAATTGTTCAAATTGACACATCCAATTTTCACAACACTATTTCCTACATATGTCGCTATCACTAAAACTGAAACAGATTTCTCATTGCTTTACTGTTCTCACATCCACCATTTCGTTTCTGCAAGCTTCTATGAATGTTAATAATTGATATTCAATATACGGATTTTTTCCGTATGGTGAATTCTTTGTTTCGTATTTTCATGCCAGAAGCCATTTTCCCAGAATACTGCCCGGCTGCTATGAAGACCACAAAATATGGATTATTGACGTAAACTTTAAACTTAAATGCACCGTCACTGGCATCGTTGTCCACCAGAATAAAATAAAGGGCGTTACTTTCGGAGTAACCCTGTATTCGTGTATTGTAAAGATTAAATAAATAAAAATGTAGGTGTATATGATTATATGAATTCTAAGCACTAATATATTTACATGAAACTTTAAGGTACCTATATACACAGATGTTCTGCTGTATCACAGCTACATCAGTGCTGCTAGACATGCGATTGCTATAAGCCGGGATAGAAACCCGACCGATTTCAGATCAGTCGTAGACACTCACCTTTAAGTGATCAGTGAACGCTACGGAGAAACAGAATTTTAACGCATTATATACGTGTTATAAGCATCACCGACTACCAGAGAACACAATTCATAGAAATGATTAAAGATATCTTATTGGCACTCTCAGAGGTTTTATGATAATATTGGACTTAACTTGGGGCAAAAGAAATGTATAATTACTTTCCAAACTTAACAGAAGTATCATGATGAAATCGATCATAAACGAAAATGACATTTTAAATATTAATTAATTATAGCTAACAATCGGTTGCCCAAGAAGTAATGAAATAAAGTTCAAATATATATATATATATATATATATATATATATATATATATATATATATAGTCGACTCTCCCGTCGAAATTCGACGTATGAAGGTCAAGCAGATCAGTTTCCAGGAAACCGACAGCCCGACACCGGCACATATATATATATATATATATATATATATATATATATATATATATATATATATATATATATATATATATATATATATTACTCAGGGTCATTTGCCAACTTATTCAAGATGATCTTGGCTCTCTTTTAACTTTCTAACTTTCTGTTATATATATATATATATATATATATATTACTCCAGGGTCATTTGCCAACTTATTCAAGATGATCTTGGATCTCTCTAACTTTCTAACTTTCTGTTATATATATATATATATATATATATATATATATATATATATATATATATATATTACTCCAGGGTCATTTGCCAACTTATTCAAGATGATCTTTGCTCTCTCTAACTTTCTAACTTTCTGTCCTGGAGTTACTAGGTGCCTCACATACTTCACGTACGATTACATTTTCAAATTCTTTTTTCACTGCTCTTTGGACTGTGAAACTCCTCTCTCATGTGCCAAAACGTCATATAGATTGAGCTGGATCTTTTTTACTTGATCGCTTTAGCTCTAAGTTAAAATGATGATCCCTCTTCTTGTTTTGACCATCTGATCCAGTTTTCCTCTCTACTGTCCCATCTTTTTAAAACTTATTCACCATTCTTTGATGGTTCTTGAATGGACTTTGAAGATGGAAACCAGTCTATGAATGTTGGTACCATTAGTGATAGCCTGAATGATTTTTTCCTCTCACTATTGCTCAGTTCTCTTTTTAGGTCAATAACTCAAAGGATTTTTCAGTGATTCATACGTGAAATAGTGTGAAGGTGGCTGTCATGTCTTAAAACTTGGAAAAAAGAAACAGTTTAGCGTTTTTTGTTAGATATTAAATATAGTGTATGATAGAGAATTATGCTGTGACACGCTTTTGACAATTTTGCAATAACAGCTGGTATATATATATATATATATATATATATATATATATATATATATATATATATAAATAAATCATAAAATATAAACTAAAATCGTAAAATTTAAAAATAAACTGAGGGCTCAATGCGAAAGTCATCAGAGCTTAAATGTAATATTTTGTAATAATATATATATGTAATAATAATATTATCATAATATCTTCATATATATATATATATATATATATATATATATGTGTGTGTGTGTGTGTGTGTGTGTGTGTGTGTGTGTGTGTGTGTGGTCTGTAAATTACTTAGAAAATGAAGGTCATCCATTATTGATCAACTCCATTTTTCAGCTCTCAT